AAAATTGGATAATGAAAAAGGTGGAGCTTTGCCCGCCCTCTGGTACGCCTCCTGACACGTGGTGGCCCTACGTGGCGGGATGCGCCAGATATAAAAAACGATCGTGGATCAGAGAGGGGGAGAGACTTCCAACCGAGATCTACGTTGTCTCCGCGGGGACGCCCGCAAGCTTGGAGCCTGTCAGCCACCTCTGGTCCACGGCGGGGGAATGATCGGTCTCGCTGTCCTGCTGGCAAGTATCCTCTCGTAAGTAATTGCTACGTAGGCGCCTCGTTCCGCAGGTAGTTGYTAAGTAGTCRTCTTGYTTTAGTGTGATGTTAGTGTGAATTGTCCTAAATAAACTAAGGGGTGGATTTTGCTCTCAGTGCGTGTGCTTTCAATTGCCGAGCCCCGAACCCATCCAGAACAAATGGTCACAAGTTTTAAGGGCCACCAACAGTGACAGCCTGGAGGTGGAGGGACAAAACGCCTTGAGTCGCATCAGTGGCGCAAGATGGGAGCCGCCGGCACAATGAGCGCAACTCGGGCCGGACRGGAAGACGAAGGATGCCTACGGCACGACTGTTGCACAGAGGCATATGCGTTCCCAGACCCTGAGCACAAGAGCGACCTCAAGACCTGAACAAAAGCACACGGCTACAACAGGCACCGCAGAGACGCGAGCCGGAGCCGCCTGCCCTAGCAAGCCCACGCATTCTCCTGCGCAACACCCGAGACGCCACCCTCACGCACCACTCATCCACAAGACACATCCCTACTAGACAGGCTGGCAACCCCGCACAGAACCGACAACCCGACGTGTCCCATCTCCCCACTTAACTTGGGCAGAGCTCTGGGTCAACGTGGCATTTTGGGAGCCATCCTCGAGGGGTGGACGCATCTTCTTCCATCTCATTTCAGGCACCCCATTCACCTCTGGCATCTACCAAGTCAGAGCACAGGTAGACATCCTGATAAGAGTTGGCACCTACCTCATTCACAGAAAAAAAAACAAACAAAAAAAACCCCACCACTCTCCCTCACATTTATCATGCTCTTTCTGCTCACCTGCACTCTGCCAGATCCTCGTTCTGGTATCAGGACTGTGATGACATKCAGGACATCTACAAAGAAGAAAAAAAACAYCAAGTGACTCTKGTGCTAGACAAGGAGAAGTAGTCCGAGAACTCCTGACTCCTCACTATACTCAGKCAAGTCGGGCTCACCTCAAATSCTCATCTAGGAGTGCRGAACGGCCACACAGCACCTGAAGGAGCAGGGGAAAAAGCAAGTCAACGAGAGGCAGCCTGGCAACACCACACCRCACAACAACAAAATACCCACCCGGCCGGAGGCATCTCCTTCTCACCTGCTCGGGCCTCTCCTGTCCGCACGGCTTCTCCTCTTGGCGACCCCTGGCACAATCTGCTAATGCCAAACAGAGAGCACACTGTGAGGGAATGACACAATAACACCCGCCTGCAACAATACCCCACAATGGCACCAGGCCCCCAAAGATTATTCCATCAGGGGATTACACACACACACTCACAGACCCGGACCATTGCTGTCAACCTTTGCACGCTGCTACAGCGGACTCCCACAGGCGAGGCGGCTCCGACCGTGCACGTACAGCCACGCACACAAACAACACTGGACAGACAGAGAAAACTTGATGCAAGAGAGACCTGGTAGCGCACGGAAGATACCGAGGGCCAGAGAAGCCTTACGACATCRCGACCGCGGGGCCCTGACGCTCGGCAAAGAGCGGATCGAAGTCGAGCGACGGCGCCGGGTCGGAAAGGGGCCGGCAAAGTTGGAGACGGCGATGAGGAAGAGGCCTTTGAAAAAATATCCGATGATGGAACAATGCGGGGAAGACGACCCCGAAAGGGTGCCCGAAAGACGCAAAACAAGAACAGCTATCGAGGGGAAAATGTGGCCTCATGAGACCTTGATGATGGTCAAAAGCACAAACAGTCACCAATGGGGACAACCTGGAGATGGAAGGACAAAACATCTCCGAGCTGACTTCGCAACGCAAGATGGGATCCGCTGGCACGATGAGCGCAACTCAGGCCAGGGGAAAAGACAACGGATGCCTACGGCACTACTTTCRCACAGTGCCGGATGCGTTCCCGATCCCTGAGAACAAGGGCTACCTCAAGACGCGAGCAAGAGAGCACAGCTACAACAGGCACCACAGACACGGGCCGGAGTCGCCTGCCCTAGCAAGCCCACGCTTCCTGCTGTGCAACACCCGAGATGGCACCCTCACGCCCCACTCATCCACAAGAGGCATCCAAACTAGACACGCTGGCACCGCAAGAGCACACCCACATGGACACACAACATCCCAACACCTTCCATCCCTCCACTTAGCTTGCGCTGTGCTCTGGGTTGCTGCGACACTTCGGGAGACATCCTCAGTTGGCAGAGGYACCTCCTTCGATCTTATTGCAGATGCCCCGTTGGCCACYGTCACCTGTCAGACTGGAGCAYGAGCGGTCGCCCTTGTAACGGTTCGGTTCCCGCATCGGTCACAGAAACGCCCTCCCGCAAAGTACCGCCGTCGCTCCGCTCGCCCGCGACTCGCCGTAATTCGGCTCTGGTATCGGCGCTGTGATGACGCTGCCAAACCCACGCAGCAGTATCGGGACTGTGAGGACACCCGAGACACCTATAGAAAAAGCAAAACAAACAAAAAATAACCAGTGACTCTCATGCTAGGCAGAGAGGAAGTAGCCTGAGAACTCCTGACACCCCAGCCTACTCAGTCAAGTCTGCCTCACCTCACATCCTCATCTGGGAATGCAAAAAGTTCATAGGGCACCTGAAAAGCCAAGGGAAAAAGCAAATCGGAGAGGCAGTCTGGCAACACCCCATCACACAACAATAAAATACAGGCCCACCGACCCACGGGCATCCCTCTCTCACCTGCTCAGGCCTCTTCAGCCGGTACAGCTTGTCCCTTCAATGATCCCCGGCACAATCTGCGAACACCAAAGAGACAGCACGCTTTGAGGAGATGACAAAATCCACGCTCACTTGCAACAATACCCCACAATAACGTCACCGCCCCGCCCCACACCCATATTATTCCATTGGCGAATATCACACAGCTCCGGGCCATCGCTGCCGAGGTTTGCGCTCTACTCTAGACGACCCTTGCGGGCGAGACGGCTCCGACCATCTGCAGACAGCCTCGCACACAAACATCATTGGACAGAGACAGAAATGCAAAGATGACCTCTAGTCCTTAGTATCTTCCGTGCGGTACCAGAAGCCCAACGACGTGGCACCCGCGACCCTCGGCAAAAGGGCGGTTCGAAGTCGGGCGATGGCGCCCGTGTCGGAAAGGGACCGGCAAAGCCCGAGAGGGCGATGAGGAAGAGGCCTTTGAAAGAGATCTGATGCCGTAACAACACAGGGAAGATGACTCTGAAAGGGTGATGGTTTTGCCTGTGGATGGCGTTTACTGTTAATATCTAATAATACAGAAATGAAAGAATGCATCTAATGAAACTATTGGTTTACCAGGCACTGAGTTTTAACTACAGACAATAAGGTATAGGCCCCTAACCATTACTACACACAAACGAGAATAGTGATTAGGAAAAAGATACATGACTTACTGTCTAAATACGTGACAGATCCAAATACGCCCAGATCCGCGGTCGCCGGGGAGGCCCGGTTGCGGCGAGGATTTGGAGAGCCTTCCCGGCAACTGGGAGCTCTTACGCGGTGCGTCCACCTGTAAGCGAGGTCTCCAAAGTCGCCGTAAGAGGGGTCCAGCTGTTATAAAGCTGAATCGGCAAAATCACCATTTTTTTTTGTTAGCGGTAACATCTGGTAGGTCCTGCTTTCCTTCGCATCCGGGGCCGGGACCTGGCCAGAGCCCCGGCTTCGGATGGGAAAGGGCCCTTCGAAGTCAAAACTACTTGCCTGAAAGCCTACAGAAGCTACAGCTTAATGAGTCTATGTGCAGGTTAGAAGCAATTTACAGGYGAGTTCTGCTACTTCTACAAAAGGAGAGGCGTTTTCCGCTKTAAGTTGACCCTGGCTTGGGCCTGTCTTTCAAGCCCTGGTAGATCACATGAGAAGGTGCAACACAAGACTGGCTACCAAGAGAAAAATGCGGCCTTATATGGTCCCATTGAGGGTTACAAGCGGGACGGCCACCGACGGTGATGCCCCGGAAATGGAGGGATGGAACACCCCCGAGCCGCTTCACGGTGCGAGATGGGATCCCCCGGCATGACGAGGACAACTCGGGCCAGGAGTGAGGACAAAGGATGCCTGCGCTACTACTGCTGCACAGCAGCACCAGATGCGTTCCTGAACCCTAAGAACAAGGGTGACCTCAAGACCTGAGCAACAGAGTGCAGCCACAACACTCAGCGCAGAGACACAGGCTGGAGACGCCTGCCCTAGCAAACCGACGCATTCTCCTGCGCAACTCAACACGCATGCGTGGGCAGCCCCTCTCACTTGTTCCATCTCCTCCTGCCCCCTCAGCTTCTCTTCTCAGTGACACCGAACAAAATACATAATGACCGAGAGAAGAGCGCACTTTGAGGAAATGACAAAACCAAACCCACACCAACCCAAACCAACCACAGCGATATGCCATTAAAACACCTTTATCTCTTCTGGTGGCAAACTACAACTCTAGCCTGTGCGCCACAACAGCTGCGTCTGCCACAGCACCTCTAAAAGCAGAACAGCAGTGGGCGAGAGGGACGACATTGGCCCAAACACAGTCCCACGTTGGGCTCTGCTTCGTCTCACGGGCCGAGGCTCGCCTCGCCGTTTTGCTTTGGACACGAGCGACCCGCTCTGTGCCTTACTTGACACCTCACCACCTACAGGCGTAAAGCTAAAAGTTATCGAGAAAGCCCCCTGACCGCAACACTCTTCTCCTTCCAACAGCTCCCTAGCTCCCCTTCAGATTAAAGCAGGACTCTTTCTTGCTCCATTCCTTTTGGGAGCCTCAGGAACACTGCTCTGGATCTGAGCAGGGGGGAGGGGAGGAAGAAAAAAAAAAAAAAAAAAAAGGTCTTATATAAATCAGGGGAATTACCCATGAGCTGATCAACCGCCACCCCGGGCCATCGCCGATATGCTTGACAAGCTACTAAGCTACTACAGCCGACTCCCATAAGCGAGGAGGCTCCAGCCCCAAACTGACAAGCACGCACATAAAAATAATTCAAAAAGCGAGCGCCCATGAAAGAAAAGAGATGGCAAAGCTGGAGATCACGAGGCGTAAGTCATCGTCTAAAAATACTGGAGTCTGTGACGATGCAGGGAAGATAACCCTGAAAGCATTCTAGGAAAGTGCAAAACAACACTACTCTCCAAAGAAAAATAGGGACGGATAAGGCCTGCGAGACCGTCGCGAAGCTCACCGTCCGCAAACGGACGTGAGAGAGTCGGAGAGACGGAATGCGTCTTGGGTGCATTTGCGGGACGAGATGGGATGCCCTGGCAGAATGATGATGATTCGGGCCTGGCAGAAATGCAAAGGATGCCTACAGCGCTAGTATTGCGCAACATGCCTGCAACACATTGCAGGAAGAATTGTGTTGTTTGCGGCACAAACAACAATATCAGTCTCAAGACTAGAACAACAGAGAGCACAGCTACAACATGGACCATAGAGATACAGGCTGAAGCTGCCGGCACAAGCACACCTGCGCTTTCTCCTCTGAAATGCACAAACCTGCCTAACACCGCTCAGGGAAAAAAGGCAGGCACACAGAGACCCCAAACCTCTCTACTGCTTCACTTAGCTTTTGCAGTGCTCAGCACGGTGACAGGACCTCAGGAGCGCTCCTCGGTGGCCAAATGCATCCTGATGGTGGCCAAATGCATCCTACTACCATCTTGAGGTAGTAGTCAATCCTGTGACAGGTGGCTCCTTCCTTGGTCGGGAATAACATATCCTCTGAAGTATGGCTGTTGTCCCGCTCACCTGTGCCGTGCCAGACCGACTCCGTGGGATCGGGTCTGTGGTGATACCTAGAACAAAGAAAATTGCCGACCGACCCTTCTGCTAGGCAGAAATGGCTACTCCTCGAACCACGGAGACACCATTATATTCAGTCTGCCTCACCTCAAATCCTCAGCCGTGAATGGAAAACGACCGCTCGCTACCTAGGAAAGTGAGAAAAAGCAAATCACCATGAAACAGACCAACAATATCCCAATAAACAACCAATCGATAATACACTCGGACGCCACTCTCACCTGCTCGGGCCCATTGTGTGCACTCATGTTCTCCTCTCAACGATCGCAAACAATATCTACAACACTGAAAAAACAGCCCTCTGAGGGGAGGACAAAAACCCACACCCCAACCAACAACCCCAACCTCTACAATATTCCACAACACCACATTTACCTCTTCTGCAAGCCAGGATTGTGGAAACAACCCCCGCCGCAAGCGAGGCTCCGCCGACTCGCACGGAGCGACGCTCGCCTTTCCGTGCCGCTCTCCGATGCCGGCAACCCGCTATCCACATTCCTTGACAAAGGAAAAAGTGATTGAGAAAGCCCACAGACCAAAACATTCCCCTTCCAACGTCTCTCTAGCTCACCTTCATTTTAGGCAGAACCCTTTCTTACTCCGACTCTTTTGGAAGCCCTGGAAACACTGCTCTGCATCAGAAGAGCAAAATAAACAGGCACTGGCCTGACCAAACCACCCCGACCCCGTCCCCCCAAAATACATGAATACATCAGAGGACACACAGGCTGAATGGATCGCCGCTCCGGGCCATCGCGAGGCAGCTATGGCCCTGCACCGACAGCCGTGCACACGAACATCAGAAAGAGAAAAGCCATATGCATAAAAACCTATTACAGCACAAAAGATTCTGAGGACTAGAAAAAAGCTGTGAGATCGCAACTGTATGGCTGTGATGCTCAGCACAAGCGCAGATTGAAATGGAAATCCAGGGAGGCCCCCTTCTGTAAAGGCACCCAATAAATGCCACCTTTACCTGGTTCACATCCTCATCTCCAGTGCCATGGTTAAGGGGGACCGCGCCTCCCATGGTACCCATAAAAGCAGAATAGCCATTGGCAACTAGGACGGCACCGGTGGGACGACCGTGCCACGCTAAGCTCGGCTTTCTCTTCGTCCGTGCTCGGCTCTCTGCGCTCCTCCGGGACGCGACAGCCCGCGTCTCTGCGTTGCTTTGCACCTACAAAGACAAAGCGAAATGTCATTGAAAAACCCCACTGCCTACAACATTTGTTATGACAGCTCTAAAGCTCACCTTATGAGAGCATAACCTTTCATGCTCCTCTTCCTGAAGCTTTAAGTCCAGGGCAGCACGGCTGCAACAACAACAGCACAAGAGCAAACAAATAAAAAAAACCCACCACACACACACACACCCACCTTGAAACCCACAAACTGGAACACACTGAGAATGAGGGGTGACCCGTCCACCCCCTCTTTGCGTCACAGTGGCTAACGCCTGCACTGAACTCGGCTTCGGCCCCAGACGGGCACCCAGACGTTAGATAGACAGATGGAGAAAAGCTCTATACAATTAAAACTCTCTGGACACATAATAACCCGAGGACCAGAAAAACCATCGAGTTCACAGCTGGGCACTTCGGTGGCTCTGGGTAGTTCCGGAAAACAGTACGATGTCGCTCCTCGTGACGGAAAAGGGAGGTTGAAGCCGAGGCGATGGCTGTGGAAGAGGAGAGCCGGAAAAAAGCTCAGACTGTAACAAAACAGAGAAAAAACCGAAAAGGATGCCATAAATGTCAAGAAAGGCTTTGCTAAGGCCACAAAGATGGCCATCTGCAACGCTAAGGTGGAAG